TACTTACCCAGATTTTCAACATTATTAGGATATGTGGTGTGGAAAGGGTGAAATGAAGGAATTGAAAAGATCAGGGGATAGGTAGGTAGCTTCTACACTTAAATAGAAATTTGATTCTGCGATATCATTCAATACAATGAAGCAAAGCACAAACAGATTCTTAATCAATGCCTACTGTATGATACATAATAGAAATACAAATCAGATTGATCCAAATTTTGTTTTATGTGTTCTGATGGCTGAAAGCCAATAGCTAGTGTTAATGCAAATGGGCCCTAAAACAAGGGTATGCAGATGACTTGAACATCTATCTGTAAACAGGTCTTCAGAGTTTGAAATGGTAAGCCTGGAAATCTAGAGAGAAAGTTATGTTAGCAATCACAGAATTTTATTTTACAAGAATGCTAGTAATCACCAAGTCCCTTTTCCTCTGGCTCAATGGTATAAATCACATATTAGGGAGCATACAAGAGGTATCTTTTAGTGCCTACTGCCATTGCTCTAGTTTCGATATGTTATCGAAGGTTTAACGTCTAATCTAGGCCAGCTTCTCAGGAAGAGAAACATGCAGGTTTTAAATGTTCTTGTAGAAAAATTGTTCCCAACACAGAACTGTCAGTAAAGTCATTACAGACACTAAGTTTTAAAAAGGGGAAGGACTTTAGACGTCTTTTATTAGCCTTTCCAGTTTTATCAGCAACAGCCTCACACACATGTAAATCAGGAAAATAAATCAATGAAAAAGATTCATTAGCAAACTAGTCTGCCTGACATATGCTAACAAAGTGAGTACCTAAACACTTTGTCTTCAGGGACGTTTTATTCTTACTCCATAACCTATCTTTAACCAGAGTAAGTCAGTGCTGGCCGCTAGTAGGAGGATGACAATTAGACAAGGAATAGGTACTTTGTGACACCAGGAGGTCACCAGCTGGCATATTCCCAGAGGCAATTGGTAAAAAATGCTCAATATCAGAAACTTCCAATTTGAAGAAATCCCTGATTTAGGAGTTGTAGCTTCAATGCCTACGAAAAAAAAAAAAAAGCAAGATGTTCTGATTCTCAGTGGGGTGCTATGTGGCAGCTTCTGCCACAGTCTTTTCACAGCAAGGGTTCAGGAATCTGGAGAAGGGCTGCACATAAATGAATAGAGACTAGACAAGAAATATGAATTTGGAAGACATTGGGGGAGCCAGACAGAAACTTAGCTCTAGTGACTAAGCTCCCCAAATCTCCAGACCCACAGCTTTTTATTAACACATTTTGCCCTTTAGCAAAGCAGATATACACATCAAAGGTAAGGTTTGGTAAACAATAGAGGATTATCAGGTTAGGGGAATTGCCCTCAGCTGTTTGGCAGCAGGTAATAATATGTAGATCTTCAGCCCTGCTGAAGATGTCCATCAGCCTTCTGATGAACTTCTCGCATTTATTATGCTAACTACTGTTCCTAGCCTCCAGCAGCCTCAATTTAAGAGAACACTTTTTTCACTTTCTGTAGGATATCTCCTTTTAGTCCTCAGAGTTGCCTGTTATCAAGTGAAAGTATGCAGAGGTTAAAGAAGCTATGACTTAACAAGGCACCAAAGCCCTGGTCAGTGTGGCTCAGTTGGTTGGGTGACGTCCTATGCAGTAAAAAGTTGCCAGTTCGGTTCCTGGTCAGAGCACATGTCCAGATTTTGGGCTGGATCCCTGGTAGGGTATGCATGGGAAGCAGCCTAATGATGTTTCGCTCTCACATCGATGATTCTCTCTTCTTCTCACCTCCTCTCTCTTTAAAAATCAATTAAAAATCTTAAAATAATGAGGGACCAATATAATATAGAAGAGATCTTTTAGGTTTAGGGAATACAATACCACAGGAAAATGATGAGCTATGTTCCACTTTCAGTTGTTTTACTTATCAAGATCGAGGTATTCTAGGTAGACCTTTAATTTAGTCCAATCCAATAGACAGGGGCACTTTTCTGGGCTTCTATAAATTCTACAACGCACATTGTGAAACATGCAGCTCTTGGTAAGTCCTGCTAGCCATATAGTTTGCCCTCATCACTGTGCCAATATGTAGCTCTGCTACATATTAGGTAATAGAGTATATAGCTCTAAGTTGTATACAGACCCAGAGAAATGTTCAGCTCACTGGCATAGCTGTCTTTACTGAGAAGGTAATTAAAATGAAATATGTATCTACCAGATAGCTAAGTATGATATAACTGCAGAGAGCCTTGATGAATAATATTAATGGAGACTATTTTATTGCAAAGTTGTTTACCAAACAGTTGTGTCCTAGGTAAGTTGGTGCTCCAGCCAGAGGCTGCCTTCTTCCAATAAGGCAATACAGATGCTCCTCCACTTATGATGGGTTAGAACCTGATAAACTCATCTTAAGTTGAAAATTTTATATGTAAAAAAATGCATTTAATACACCTAACCTACTAAACATTATAGCTTAGCCCAGCCCACCTTAAATGTCCTTCAAACACAATATCCAAAAAAACCTCTGGCAACACAATATACTGTAGAGTATTGGCTGTTTATCCCTGTGATCATGTGGCTTACTGGGAGCTGTGGCTGGCTACTGCTGGCCAACATCATAAGAGAATATCGTATCACATATCATAGTAAAGTAAAAAAATCTTAAGTTGAACCACTATAAGCTGGCACTCTCTGTATTGTACAGGCAGGGCTTCTGGTAATGGGTGGGGCAGTTCAGACAGCTTCTTTCACCCCCTAAAAGGTGGAGACTTAATACTATTTTCCTACAATTGTAAGACATTGAGCATTTTCCTTTCAGTCTTTATTCTTCTGAACTATTCAAACTACACTTAAAAAGTCTGGATATTTTTATTTTAGGGTACTAAACTCCACTCCTCCCCTTGATCCCTTTTGCTACCCTTCTAGTTCCCTGAAAGCAAATACCATCTCATTTTACATTGCCTGTCATAATGCTTGAGACAGAGAATTGCTCAGTAAACATTTGAATTGAAATGTTGAATTTTGTTTGTTGAAGCTCAACAACATGAGTTACACTCTAGGAGTCTAAAATCATTTTGTGCTACAGTAAGACAATAGCTCCTTTTTTAAATTCCTAATTCCCTTTTAAAAACAGTTTAAAACATTACTGGCTTTTTATGACTCTACCCATCTATTGGGTTGATGTATTCAGGAATGTCGCCCTAGTGCAGTGGTTCTCAACCTGTGGGTCGCGATCCTTTTGGGGGTCAAACGACCCTTTCACAGGGTCACCTAAGACCATCGGAAAACACATATATAATTACATATTGTTTTTGTGATTAATCACTATGCTTCAATTATGTTCAATTTGTAACAATGAAAATACATCCTGCATATCAGATATTTATATTACAATTCATAACAGTAGCAAAATTACAGTTATGAAGTAGCAACAAAAATAATTTTATGGTTGGGGGTCACCACAACATGAGGAACTGTATTAAAGGGTTGCGGCATTAGGAAGGTTGAAAACCACTGCCCTAGTGACTCCCAGATCCCTTTGCTGAGCCAGAATTGATAGCTCAGAGATAGTATGTGAACAGGGTTTTGCTTATTTTCTTCTAAATGCTCTTCACAGTTTTTATATTATTATCACATAAACTATGTCATGTATTCTCACGAAGACAGAATGAATAGATTATTATCTTCATTTTATAGGTTAGAAAACTGAGGCCCACAAAGAGTAAATGAAATGACTTGCTCAAGACTTACAAGGCAGTTTATATCAGAGTAAGAATTTCTAGTCCTTAATTACCACTTACTAGCTTTGTAATTTTGTGTGCATCACTTAACACTCTGTCTCAGTTTCCTCACATGTAAAACATTATAGTATTAATGTTATACTATACCTGTTAGCCCTTGTGGAGTTGTTAATGATAAACTGAAATAATACTATTTATCATTTATATAGCATTTACATTTTCTAAGCTGTCTACACATCTCTTACTCCATTTAATCCCATAAGACTGGTTTCACTATTAACTCCAATTTACAGGTGAAGAAATAGTTACTGAGAAAGGCTGACTTGCTCAAAGTGACACAGCTATAACATGTCAGAGTTGAGATTTGGATTCATGTTTGCATCCAAGTTCAGTGTTCTTTCCAGCTACACCACATCTACTGGGAGGTAGGTGAGATAACCAATGTGAAAATGCTTTATAAAATGCAAATGTCTTACAAATGCTATTTAAATGTGAAGGAATATGATAATCTGCCCTACATATATAATGGGACTATTACCAGACTGGCAGGAAGGACTCAGAAACAAAGTTGAAAAAGTTGCTGCATACATATTGAACATGTCAGTGCTGGGTAATGAAGCTGCCCATAGGAACAGAAAAACTTGACATATATGTAACATCATTCCAAAGACATATCAGTGAAAACAAACCTCCCATCTTTGTTCTTAATCTTGGATTGAGAATAACAACTCAATCACATCAGACATACTCTAATGTTACACTAAAAAATGTCACTTCAGCACAAGCAGACAGGTGTGTGTCAACCTTAATCTGAAATCAGAGTCCTCTGTTATCTTTAAAGCTGAGACCTATAAGAGATGGCTGAGCAGGTTTCATAAAAGCTCAGAAATTTCAGTGCTTCAATGTAACACCAGGGAGCTTTCAGCCCGTGTCAAGACACTCTAATAAATGTAAGACAGCCCTAATACTAACACTGAATTCACAGGTCAGTAATTATTGTTGTATCCAAGACCAGCTAGCACAGAGAAGTAAACGTATAATTATCATAGCTACATTCTCACTACTAAGGATCCATATAGCAGAATGTGCACATTTATTACCCTTTTGGCGGCAGGTGGTCTGGCCACAGTGGCAGGTGATATAACATGTCTTAATGTTTCATTAGTGCCTTGTTGTGACCATGGGAGCTTGGCACTATTTAATTCTGGCTAAACTCCAAATCAATAACTTGTTAAAGGAAGAAACTGTCCCCCTCCGGGGCTATTAGAGTAAAGAGTTACCAACCTCAGCTTGTTTGCACCAGACGCTGATGTTTTTACGTTGGGCTTTTGTGAAGTGGTCCCATGCCTTTTGTTTGGAGGCAGAATGGTACACAGCAACTATCTGCTCAACTGCAGCGTCAGATCAGCAGTTGAATTAGGCCAGAGTATCATCCAAGATGGCAAAAGAGGGGACAAAAGAAATAAGAGAAGCATCAGGCGTATTGTATCTTCTTGTATGACACTATTAAGCTATGGTATGTGTGTTGGGGTACCGTGATTTTAAAGGGGAGTCAAAGACAGAGATATCAATATTCAGAAAGAGAAAAGGGAATAGCAGAGGGTTTGAGGTAAAATGGGGACTAAGTTTTAAATACATGCAGTCTGTATCTATTCAGGCAGGAGAGGCAAAAGTCCTAGGTGAATGTGATTTAGTGCTACTGACTGCACAGTATGGTGGCAAGCAGTAAACTTCTATAGCTCCTTTTGACCACCTGTTTCTTTCATAAACCAGCCCTTTAAAATGAACCTGGATGCTTCACTTCAACATACTCCATCCTTTTACTATTCTGAGGTATGTTGAACCAGAAGCATCATATCAAAATTTAAGATGGATGGAATGCATTTTAAGCCTAGAGAAATATAGGTTTTATGAAAGAATACCATGTACGTACAGGCTTACATAGTATTTTTTTTCAGGGTCTCTTAAAATGTCAAAAGGGGAAACATATGCAAATATTCTGGGACTTTATCCTAACCAGTTTAAGAGAAGGGAAACATAGACATGACATTTTTGGGAAAAGACAAGGACAAAAGCCTCTGCCTGGCTGGGTGTTCACGGTAAGAAAATATACAAGTTTTATTTCTTTCTTTATAGCACAATTTGCACTCTGTGTACTAACAATTTAAGAATTTATATTGCCATGATACTTGCTCTTCTCTTTTTCTATATTCTTTAGTCATACAAAAATGTGCTTTCTCCTTCTGAATTCTATGCACAAATACATTTTCAAAATAAAAATGGAAAGTGATACAACTCTTCCTTAATTCCAATTACACATGAGTCAAGTACGGGAAGTCAAGTATCAGAAGAGTGGGCCATAACTGCTTAAAGGCAAAATCATAAATCTGCACTCTTATTCTTAAGGTGAATATAGCTCCTTACGCAAAAGATATGAGTGCAGTATAGTGAAGTAAAACATTACTTGAGAATTTATCTGATCTGTTTCATTTAAGAGATTTTGAGTAGGTTTAGAGTAGCACTTCTTTTTGAAAAATGGCCATTTCAGTGGCTTCCCAAAAATGTCCCAGTGTCTATGACATCCAGCAAAAAAAAAAATGTACAAGAAAGGAAACTAAAAATAAAAGATTGAAATAGCAAATTTGGCTTTTATTCAATCACCTTGCCAAACATGGCTACATTGATTATTAAAAGTAGTTACCTAAAAAGCATATTATATGATAAGAATGATGCAAATCTTACAAATGCTGAATTTTGACTTCAGCAAGGAAATCCTGAAAATTCACTGAGGCCTGAGGCTCTTATAGCCTGAGAATAAGCCAAAGTAGAGGCACAGGATTGTGGTTTAAGTGTCAGTGTTTGTTTCTAAGGAGCTGAAGTAGATATGCCAGAGAAAATACACATAGGAGGTCCCCACATGTATCCTGTGAAATTGGAGCTTGGTCACTTGGCAATAAGGAGAGCATACGACAATGAAGGAAGCCTTGCCCCTTGACACAGAATGGCTTTGTAGGCCTGGCTCCTGTGCAGAAAAAATGATGACTAAGTGAAGTGCCCTCTCATCTTTTCAGCACAACTCTGATTTCCACTCACACTGAATGAGAATTCCAGAAAGGGCCTGCTTGAACTTCTCCTTTGCTTCTTCCATGTCTTTCTCATGGGCAACTTTCTCATTTACCAGGCGACGGATGTGGCTGTTGGCTGACTGAATCATGGAGTAAAAGTTGTTGGCACTGCGACGGTTCACCTCTCCTCGCTCAATCCAAGTGAGCAAGGTCTGCACGGCTTCTGAGAATTTGGATTCATCTTGAAAAAAAAAAGGATTTATTTTTAGAATCATCAAAAGTAACCATATCTTGATCTATTTTCCAAACATGCCAGTAATGAGACCACCATGTCTTTTGGAAGTGGTTCTTATATGTATTGCTGAGGATGAGGAGCCATACATGTATATACATGTACACACAGGTAGCAGGCAGGCACACAGACTGAAAGAACCAAAGACTCATAAAGTAGATTGGTTGTAGTCAATGAAGAATTTTCAGAAAGGCAATTGTTTATTCTCTTTTTTGAATTTTTTCCCATCACCATTTATCCCCCTATACCATCTTCCACCTCCACCCACTCCTTCAATCACCACACTGATGCCCATATCGTGAGTTCTTTCTCTCTCTTTTTTCTTTTTTTTCAATCCCCCCCTCCACAGCTGTCAGCCTGTTCTCTATGAGTCTGTCTCTATTTTGTTTGTTAGTTCAGTATATTCTTTCCTTTAAAAAGTTTTCTTTACTGATGCAGTTTTCACATATTGCAAATTTCTTAATCTCTCTGATGGTGTGTATGCATGCATATGTATAATGTATGAATTAGCAATGAGAGAATTTCAGAATTCTACAATCCTATTTTTTTAATAAGGAAAAGTAAATTTGAGTCTAACTTGAATTTGATAGTTACTTTTTCCTTGATCTGGAGTTATAGTATCTGAAGGAGCTTTAGGAAGGAGTTAAATGGGTAATTCTTCAGGAATAAACACATCTTTGACCTTTTATAACATCACTCTTGCATTCATTCCACAACCACAGGCCTTCCACTCAGTCCAAGTCACAATCTATTTTGATGTAATTCATTCTGTTTCTACATTTCTTCACCTCCTGTTTCACTTGCCTGAGGAAACCTCCAAGTATATTTCTGCAGCTAGTTAGGAGTTATTCTCTAACATTAAAATAGTAGCAGAGCTCTTCAGAGCTTCTGGTACAGCTTCCCCAGATAGCCACTTACACATTGTGCTGTTAAAAACTCCTGAGAGGGAGAGTCCATTAGCATCCCATTGAAAGACCGTTCTAGGGCTCCATATCCCTCTTTGGCCAGAAACCCTTATGCACAGTGGAAATATCTCTCACTGCAGTTTAAATCCCTTGCTTCTTGACTTTTTTCAGTGTAGACATGTAATGAGAGGCCAGCCTGCCCTTTATAGCAGCTTTTCATTTCACTACTTGCATAAAATCTTTATGTTAATGCTTACCTTATGCTTGAAGTCCACATGACGAGTAAATTCATTTAAAAAAAAATCAAACTGACCCATTTGGTGTCATGTGAACAGGTCATTCTTGAACTGGCATTTTACCAATGATTTCAGCTTTTCCAGTTTTTTAAAAAAGACGCATTATTTCTGTGTCTCTATCCTATACTATGTTTTCTGCTTTTCTTTTACAGGAAGACAAAATCAATGCAAACAAAGGGTTTCTTAAATGTATGAATCCCTTAGGCCAGCAATTTTCAACCTTTTTCATCTCATCACACACATAAACTAATTACTAAAATTCTGCAGCATACCAAAAAATATATTTTTTGCCAATCTGACAAAACAAAGGTATAATTTTGATTCATTCACCCTGGATGGCTGGTGTTATGTTGGCTGTTGTCATTTTTTTATTTGACAATCTAAGTGAAAAGACATCAGTGCCTCTGAGTAAATAGGTATACTTGCAGCACACCAGCATGCCTTTTGTGGCACACCAGCTGAAATTGTTGCCTTAGGTTATCTGGTGCAAACAAGTTTGGTAAATGAGACCTATTGAAATTAGAATTAGCAGCACCTTGCTGAGCCTAGAGCACCGGAAGCAGGGGAAATTCATAGCTTTAAACCTGGTTTGGTGTCATCAATAAGATCAATGGGATACCAGCATTTACCTGATAAAGTCAACCACACAAGAATGAAAAGACTGAATTTAAGCTACTAACACAGGAGAGTAGGCAAGGCAATTAACGTTAAGTAAGCAAAATGCTTCACAGGGTCAAGCAAGAGAAACAGGAATCAAAACTAAAAGAAAAGCAGTCTCATTTAGCAATGTCTAGAAATCTCACGGACACTGTGTGAAATAAATTGAGCATTTTAAGGGCTTAAACAAGTCCTCTTTTGTTGGTAGCTAAGTCTTTGAGTAATCTAGAGAAAATGTACACTATGATTACTCTTGGGGCCTCCATTTTCTTATCTGTAAAATGGGAATTTTTACCAGAGTTTTCCAGGGTCACATCAAGTTCCATCATTCTAATTTATTCTGATTTAAAACTCAAACTAACTTGTTATCAATGATGAAAGGGAGGGTGCTTACGTATCCCAAGTCATGGATTACTGCTAAAATTCTCGGATGTGGAGGGAGGCGGGGCAGGGAACTTGTTTCTTTCTAGAAACCTGCTATGTTGAGAGAAAAGTGGGATACAGGTAGGATGGACAGATTTTCTTGCTCTTGAATTACTATGTATACCTCTCTGTCTGTGAGGTTAAAATACAAGAAATGTCTAGAATTTATTAGTGGAAAATTCAAAGGATAACTGCAAAAACTACAAATATTTTTATTAAATTTCCCCAGAGGAGTTATTTTACTCACAAAGCTTAAAGTTTTCTATACCTTTAAGTTTTTCAGCAACAATGCTGCATTCATGATCTGAATAGTGGACCACTGGGGGTGGGGATGGTGGGCGCAACCGTTCTTCTTCCATCCTTCTACGGTGGCGCTCCTCCCTTGCTAGCATACGCTGTTTGCATTCCCACTCATACAGGTCATCTCGAGCTTGTGCAAAATCAACGTGGAGGCGGCCTGTGTCCTTCTTGTCAGTGCTAGAGCCCAGGCGAATGCGGTAACCTAAGTGCACAAGAGGAAGGCAGAGGAATACAAGAGCAGCCCAGTGAGTGAGGAACTGTAGGTACCTTTCCAAGTTTAATGCTTCAGATGCGGTTGCAGCAGTTTCAAGTGACTGCATGACCCCAAATTCTCTCCCCACTATTAGCAAGGTGAACTATCAAAAGACTTGAATTATAGTCTCATCCCTGATAACAGTTTACTATTCTATGGGTAAGTCATCTTGTTTGTAGGATATTCATTCCTCCATCTGCAATCTTACCTCTGGCAGAGAGAGGCTCTGTGGTAATGGTATCAAGAATGAGTCTTGCCCTAACCGGTTTGGCTCAGTGGTTAGAGCGTCGAACTGCAGACTGAAGGGTCCCGGGTTCGATTCCGGTCAAGGGCATGTACCTTGGTTGTGGGCACATCCTCGGTGGGGAGTGTGCAGGAGGCAGCTGAATCGATGTTTCCCTCTCATCGATGTTTCTAACTCTCTATCCCTCTCCCTTCCTCTCTGTAAAAAATCAATA